CTTATAAAGTTCAACTGGTGGTTATAAGTTCGCTATGGCAATACAAATAAAAATGTTAACGTTTTTGTTGAGAATATTTTATCCTATCTCAATTAATGACATTTATTATAGAGATCAAAGAGCAAATTCACACCATATTTACATAAATAAATTCAGTAATAGCAATATAATACATATGAATTGTTCATTATTGTTATTCTAAGGGGATATCGTCCCAGAATAAAGTTTATTTTCTATTCTATTCTTTAAAAGAGAACGCAATAAAATAGCATCAAGATAAAAATAACTAACTTTTTTTTTTTACCAGTACAAGTACAACCCATGAAGGGTCTTGGATTCAATACTCTTTGAATCGGTGGGTGCAGAAACTACTTCAATAACAAATTTTAAATTTTTCAGGAGAGACAAAAACATCATAATTTCTCAAAATTTTCAAATATTTGGACTTTTTTTTTTCCTCAGTCATAACATGCATTTATGTTGCTGTCATCCAAAAATGCTGATGAAAACTTGGAAAAAGGTAACCATTCATTAAAAGTTTATATTTTTCATTAAAAATTTATATTAATTTTAATTTATTTTACAATTTAAATAATTTATATTAATTTTAATTTAACTTATTCTACAACAATTTTAAAAATTTATGTTTTTCATATTATATAAAAAAATGAAGTTAAAGTATTTCAAGGTTATCATAAAACAGGAATATAAAAAAGTAAAACGCTGATACGATAAGTATACGAATACGTATTCATTTTTCTTTTTATGAATATAAATATATTTATAATTTTATTCATAACTACTATAAATATAAATGGTATTTGTATTTATAATTTTTAATATAAATTTGTCCATCTCTGCTGGTGGATCCAGTGGTGGATGCAGAAATCACGTCAGTCATTGACTCATGTTATTTCTGAGCTCAACGATGGAAAAATACGTCATGTATTTACGGAACTACTCAACAGAAAGAACCACATTTCTTTCACTCAACACTTATCTTGCCTTTCTAAGCTTCTATTCATCAAAAACGATTTTTCGCATTTTTTTTGACCGAGGTGATTTCTGCACTCACCGATTTATTAAGGGAAAGCACTGTTTCTTGGTCTACGGTTGTGGAAGGAGGTGATTTGAATGAGATCCCGATCAACCAACTGGACGCCCCACAGCCAATGAAACAGAATAAATAATTTTTCTGCCATAAGCCGGGATTCGAACCTGAGACCATAAGCATTGGAAACCCAGTACCCTACTACTGAGCTACCCCACTCCATAATATGTATATATATATATATATATATATATATATATATATAATGTATTCAAAAAGTAAAATAAATCTCTTAAACACAACCATACTTATATACACTATTTACTATCATCCAGGGGAACCCTGGACCAGTCTTGACCCGTTACCTGTGGCTCCAGGAGATCCCAGCTTCTCTCTCAACCACTTCACAGAAATGAAAAGTAAATTGAAGTTAAGGATATTTTATTAAATGATTCATTTCATAATATTAATATATTTTATTGACTGAATTAGAATCAAAACAATCAACAAGCAAGAAGCAATATTTTTTATTTGCCCTAAAATTAAAACCACTTCTTAATATATACTTTAATATTTACTACAAGAGCCTCGAAGAGTTCATAGCTCCAGAAAAGAAACTACCTTGAAGATGGCAAAATATATTGCAAAAAATGGGGTTATCTCAATCTGATAGGTCAGTACACAATAAAGTTTGATCGAAGATATCAACTGACAAAATTTGTACCAAAAACGTTAAAATTTTAATATATGAACTTCGAAATCTGGCTTCTAATAAGTTGAGTAAGATTGATGATTTTAAAATGACTAGTAGAGAACCTGACCGTTTCCTAGAACTCTAATCGAATGTTATTGTTACCTGCAGCAGTAAATATAAAATAAAATGATTAGCAGAGAATAAAACATAAAATATATGTCCATGTAAATTACAGACTCCCATTAGATGATATCCGAATCGACATTGATCTGTTAAGAAACGATCATAATGGAGGGCTATTGTTGACTATAGAACTAATTGCAGAAGTTTGTTTGAGAGAGAGGGAGTTCGGTCCGTGATGAAACAAAACTCAAATAATAAAACTTATAAAATAAAACTTAAAGAATAAAATTATTTTTTCATTTCATATATACCTTCAATTTAAAAAAATAACATTACATTCGTTTCTTTGAATCAACGGTTCTAGTATTGCAGACAATGTTATTTTTACTTAGAATAACACATACTTTCGTAATTTACATTCTAGCGTTTTCCTGGAATGAGTACCCGTTTTAGACTCTGGTTCTAGTGCTACATAGCCTTCTATAGGACAAGAAATAGACATCGATGACCCTTCAATAAGTAATCATCTCCCACCACTAGCGGATCCAGGATTTAATTTTGGGGGGGCTTCAGCCCGAAACCTTTTTTTTCATAAAAATAACGATAATTCCTTTGGAAAAACAGAAAGAAACTAACTACCTATATGAGATGGTGTTTAAGTTATTCCTTAAGTACTTTTAAATGTAATTACACGAACAATAATACTTTAAGAGGTATTTTTTAAATTTTTTTCCCCATAAAACATGGTTATATATTGGGGGGCTTCAAAACATGGGGGGCTTCAGCCCGAAAGCCCCCCCCCGTAGATCCGCCCGTGTCTCCCACGATATACCTCAGCTATAATCAGGGCCGGCGGAGATCCTTTGAAGAACAAAAAGCAGCAGGACACTTAGGTTCTTCCCCCTTATGGTCAAAATAACGAAACGGCCAAATATATTTGTAGAAAACATTTATTATCGATTTTGTGATCGAATAATCTTATGATTTAAGTGGAAAACAAATTGGTTATTTACGAGTTTTAAGTACCTAATTAAATAGACAAAGTTTGCTGACCTCCAGATTGAAAACGCCCCAATTCCAAGAGTTTTCGTAAATAAAATTGTTGTAGGCTACGATATGAGATGAAGCTATTTACAAAGTTTCAGCCGGTTGTTAATAATTTGAAAAAAAGGGCTCTGTACCACTGGAATCACCTGGACAAACGTCTAGCTTAAAATCCTCATACAAGAATGAAACAACAAGAAACTGCTCGATGTTTCCCGCTGCTTTAACACTTATTAGACAGATGATGTAAGTTTCCAATTAAATTGCAAATTATTTTTATTAAAAATGGATGATAAGATCATAGAACACATGTGTCTAATCAGTTAATAGCGATCCATCGATTGCATCCCTAAACTCATCAGTCACGCATCACAAACCTTGAAGAATGGTCTCAAAACTGGAGGATTAAAATGAATGCATCCTATCAAATCAACTTTATATTTCATCGTAAAAACACATATGTCTTCTTGACTACCAGTACCCTTTAATGATACTTCGCTTATTTCTGTTGAACCAATCCGATACCTTGGATTCCAATTGGACAAGAGTCTAACTTGAAATCCTCATACAAGACTGAAATGTCAATTAACCGCTCGACGTTTCCAACTACTTGAGTACTTAGTAGAATAAAGCTGGAAGCTTCCAATTAATTACATAAGACTCATTTACATGACTATAATAAGGACTGTTTGGACTTACGGAGTTGAACTTTCGGAATCCACTAAACCATCGAATCCCTCTCGTACCAATCAGGATTCTTCGTAAAATCCTCAATGCTCCTAAGTTTTTCATATATAAAAGCGTTAGTCTTCCGTAGACTCTTATCTTCATTTTCTTTTATTTAATTTTATGATATAATTCAAAACGACTTTACGATGCGAAAGGCACCTCAAATCTATTAAATCTTAAAAACTCAATGCAGGAACTCTGCGATATAAAGGCAAGGCGGTTAAGATGGGCTAACTGGTAGCTCGAAACAACAATGTATAGAAAGCCTCTACACGATATTGGATGCCTCACTAGTTGGTAAGAGACCGCGTGGGAATTCAAAAATCAAGTGGATAGATCGGAAACTGCAATCATTAGTGATGCCCAAATGCGAAACCGAGACGAATCTTGGTCTTCCGAACTCAATCTTGGTCTAGGTTTTGGTCTTGTGCAAGAGTCTCGCAACAGTCTTACAGTTACCTATTAGCTTATTACTATAGAGATATTGCTGTAATTTTTTAGATAGACGAAATCTAACTAAGCCCAAATGAAAATACAGAGTTAAATGCAAAAGTACGTTCTTTCTACCAATTCTTTACAAATAGTAACTAAAAGTATTAGTACCTATTTTGCCATACTTTTATTCAATAAATGGATTTTTTTTAATAGTCTTGGTCTTATGCAAATGCAAAATGCAAGACCAAGAGAGATTTTGGACACTACCAACCAGGTAAAAAACTGGAAAGCAATAGCTTTAGTTAGATCTGGGTTCTTAGGCCATAATATATTGAACACAATGTAATCTAGAGCTAATTTAAAAAAAACAAAAAAAAAAAAACATATATGCCTCCGAGCTTTAGAAGTTGCTGACAACCTCGAAGCTCGAGGTTGAGTCGAAAATGGACACAATTTGTAAACTGAATTCAATAAATAACTTTCAAAATTATTTTTGAACTTTCAAAAAAATAGACCTCTAAAGATCATATTTTTTAAAGCAGTGAAAATGCTTTAAATTTCTCATATTCAAATAAGTAATTTACCAATTTAAGCTGTGTAAACATGCTAGTCAAATAGATATAATACATTACTTGAAGATAGTTCACACACATATTTATTTCATTATAGGTGTGATGTAGTAGAAAAAATCGAGTGAAATCTACCATTCTAATGCAGGATTTATACGTTTTGTATATAGTTTAAAAAAATTAAGAATTTGAACTTAAAATAAACTTCATTTACTAACGAAAACTAACAATTGGTTTTTATATTTTAAATTTTGTTGCTATGCGGTTAATATGATACGAAATTCAAGGAAGCACAGAAATAAATTAAAAATTTGTCTTGTCTATCGATATCTGTATACACACACAATAACAATATCCATAAAGATGTTTTTCCCATGATCCCTTTCCCCCACCTCTGGAAAAGATGCGTATATAAAGGACCGGCTCAGAGGGTTGCCTTCAGTTCGAAGATGGCTCTCAGTTATTGTATATCGTTCTTAGCCCTCTTTGTGGCTGTATTTGCCCACACTCATGATATTCGTAAGTATTTCATTATATAAATAATATTATTACTATTATAACTAACGAAATATATTACAATCAGAATCGATCTAATCTTTGAAGGTCAAAAGGTGATAAAAACAGGTCAAAACCGAATTCATTTCTTACTCAGATCATTTCACAATTTTTTTTTTTAACTATCCAGGGTTTGTAAACATTTATGTTTTTTGTTTGAATGTTGAATGAACAAAAATTTGCAAAAGAGCCGGTTGCGATGAAAGTGTGATGTTTTTGGCAATATATAAAGCGTTTTATATTAAAAAAATATAATAAAATAATATGTGTCAGTCAATATTAATAAAAATGGAATTAAATATTTTCAGAAAACCAACTCCAGAAACTAAAGGTCTTTCATTTTTTGCAATTTTTATAATTGTATCTTTATTTACAGTCAAACATTATATTATAAAATATTTTAAAGTAGCGAATTTTTAACATTTACTTCTATATTTTACTTTAACTAGAGTCAAATCAATGTCAAGAACTCAATTTTAGTATATAATGTCTCGATATACAAATATTGAGGTAAATATATATTTTATCTTAATCATTCATTTTCGGTTAAATACATTATTTCATTATTTATCATCGTTTGATTTTAATTAAATGTGATCATCATTTGAGGATGATAGATTTTTGAAAAATATCCAAATCGCGAAAAAAATAAACCACAACATTATATTACCCAAATCATTAATTGTTTTTAATGAAAATTGGTTTTTGGTTTAAAAATAAAAATTGATCATTACATTCTTAATTAATACCAATGTAATTTCGATATATAAACTAAAAAATATTTTTATGATCTTTTTATTATTATAGCAACGTAAATAAATATGTTGTTATTTGTAGGGAAATTGAATTATCAATGAAAAATAAAATATAGTAGATACATTATTCAATTTCGTTTCCATAGATATTCACTGAAGTTTTAATAGATATTCATTCAAGTTTTAATATGGATTATAAATAATTTTTGGCTTATTCTTTTCGACAAATTAAATGTTTACAAAATGTGTTATTGTAATACTCATTAGAAAAAAAAGCAAAATTCGAAAGGCTATTGCTATCTCAAATGATATAATTGAAGATAAACATAAATTTTCTGGGATTATCAAACTAGAAAGTTTACGAGATTGAAAAAAACTTTCTGCGTTTTCTTTGCTGTATCAAAATATACTCGTTTTTACTTTTATTTTATATTTTTTTACTTCACTTTTTATTTTTTAAGTGTTGTTTTTTTTCTCAATTTTCATTTATTGTTATTATTTGACATTTCTGACAAACCACGAGAAATTATTCAAGATCGAATAATTCGATCACGAAATTTATTATTAATATTTTATGTTATTTTTACCATCACCCAGTCCATCATTTACCAAACTGTCAACTATCAGTATATTCAATCATTTTTACGAGAGCTAATTTTAAGTCAAATTTTACCAGAATAAATTTCTCGATAAAAAATTAATACACGATAGTTATTAATTATTAATCAATTATTGACAAAAGCCTCTCCCCAAGGAGGATTTTAACGGAGTTGGCTACAGCACAGAAAAATATGTTTAAATTATTACAATATTTTTTTTTAATGTTTAAAATAAAGCAAAACAGATAAAATTTTTGTTGTTGTAAAATAACCATGATGGCCTAAGAAAAAGAAAACAAAACAAATCCGTACAGTAAACAGAACAGTTTTGGAAGCAAGCGGTTAATAAAAAGATAACCGCTTATTATGTACTGTTTGTCTTTTATAAATAGATATATGTAAGTATATATGTATATATGTTATATATATATATATATATATATATATATATAATATATATATATATATATATATATATATATATATATATATCAAATGAGTGTTATTATAATTTCATTACCACTTTGAAGAAAAATGGTAGCTAATTTAAGCCTGTTCATTTTTTTTTTAATTTAATTCAATTCACATAATTCAAGACTATCTTAAAAAAAAAAAAATATATCAGAGAAAAGTTGAATATAGCATCCAAGCTATCAGAAAACCTAAAAGACAACGAAAAGGCTGTCAAAAAGAAATTAGAATTCCTAAAAGAGGTGAAACTCTATAATTTATTTAATTACACGATGTTGCCAATGACCCTGCAGGGTAGAGGCAACAAAAAAAAACTAAATAAATAAATAATTTTTAAATAAATATAAACAAATAAATTATTCTTCAAACGATATTCTCGATGCCTATTTTAGATGTAAGGTTTTTGAGTAATCAAAAACTGAAACAAAGGAGATAGGCTTGGCAAATATCTCTGCAACAAATCTCTATGATTTTTTTTTTCTTTTAAGGGAATTTAAACTTGTTTTTTTAGTCAATTTTGAAATTAGAATTCGTAATTTCTCTTCAAATAAATAATTTCAAACTTATATTCGGGGAGAGTGTGTTGTCTAGATAAATTTAAAGGACTTCAAGGAGAATACTTGGACAAGTTTCATTAAAATTGTTACAACAGTTTTGGTGGTGCAATAAAAAGCAATCGACCGTTTTTAAAGGAATATTGACTTTCATTTTTTCCGAGGAACATCTTCGGGGGACCTCTAACATTGATACGAAATCTCAAAACAATCGGCCCAATAGCGAAAGAGTAAAATTGGACGTTGGACAGACTTTTTTTTTTTTTAATTCGAATTTTTCGGACATCAAATTTTGAGAGGTGTTAACCTTTTTTTCTTGGTCGATTACAAGTCTTATTATAGAAAATAATAAACGAAAAAGTAAACAGCTTATGAGTCCTCTTCACAAGAAATGATCAACATAAAACCAGTACTAAATAATCCATATATAGTTTAAGAAATTTGATAAATAAATGAACAGATAAATAAACAAGATTTTTTTATGAACTCTGATGGAATAATAATAAATTAAAAACAGAAGCAATATAAAAAGAAAAAAAAACAAACAATCCTACTCAAGGAAGTTGGTGGAAGCAAGACCAGTTTCTATGACGCCATGAAATAGATCAATAAAGACATACCAGAAAAACATTCAAAGGGATTGGATTAGGAAAAAGGAAAACCCCTTTTTTGCGTCATCAAAGGTATCCTTTTCAATCTAAGGGATAACAGAGATAAGGAAGACATCTCCAAATTAGATGTCACAAAGAGAGAAAAGAAGAGGAATAAATGTCTGTCGAGTTCGTGTAGCATCCTCACGATTTCTTTTGGGTACTTAAGAAAAAAAGAATGGTTACCAAGAAGGCGTAAGAAAAATAAATTTAATTTATTTTACATTTTTTCCTAAACTGTACAGGTTTTTACTGTATATAATTATTTAGTTTGAGAATTAATATTATTTTAAATTAATACATCTCTATAATTTATTTCTTTTCCACTATTCTTGTATCACTATTTTTTGACCTGTTGTGCTCTTGTTTACAAGTGTGCACATCCCCTGCCCCCTCCAAGCCCAATCGTCCATGGATTCTCACCCCTTCTAAGACATTTTGTTACTCTCCTTTTCTTAAAAAAAAGGTGCAAGCAAAAGTAGAATTTTAAATAAAATGGTAGATTATATACAATATTATGTTATAAATGGAAAAAAATTCAATCACACCGACTTTCGTCCCCAAAATGCCGGTAAAGAATAAAATATTCCTCAACGCTTCGCCAATCCAGACATCATCAGGATAAAGAAGATATACTTTTCTTTTCTGCTGATGATGACTGAATTGGCAAAATGTTTAAAGATTATTGTATTATTTATGTGCATTTTGGAGACATAAGCCAGTATGGTTGGAATTTTTCAAATTATAGGCTAGTATTGAATTTCCGACTCTTGGTAAGATTTTTTCTGATTTATATTATTATATACAATTGATACATTCTGCAGTCTATTCCATGTTTTTCATTATATCTTGGTTTGAAACTTTAAATAATAATAATAATAAGGCTTAGCGAACCCGAAGGTTCGATGTCGACACCACCAATCGCTTGTTACACACCTCCCTCCACCGTTCGCCGTCCAAACCCAGTCCCTTCAGATCGGCTTTAATGCAATCTTCCCACCTTCGCTTCGGTCTACCCCTCGGACGCTTACCATTCGCCACAGCAAATATTAAACTTTTAGGAATTCTCTCGTTACTAAGCCCAACAACTTTACAAGCCCATTTGATTCGCCGCGATGAAATTACCTCAATTATATTACCCGGATACAGCTCACGCAATTCGGCGTTGTGTAACCGTCTGAACTCTCCGGTTAACTCATCCTTCTTCGGTCCGAATATTCTACGCAATACTTTATTTTCAAAAACCTTAAGACGCTGCTCATCCCTTAATGTAAGCGGCCAAGTTTCGCATCCACAAAGAACTGTAGGCAAGATAATTGTTTTATAGATTCTAATTTTTAAGTTTCGGGACAAGAGGCGCGAACTAAGTAGTTTTGTCACAGAAAAATAACAAGCATTCCCCGCCTTCAGTCTAACCTTAATCTCTTCTTCAATTTCGTTTTTTCTAGTTATCGTAGAACCTAGATACCTAAATTTATCTACCTGTTCAAACATATTACCATCTATATCGATATCACCAGTAGTATCACCATTTTTGCAGCTGACCATATATTTTGTTTTATCCACGTTTATTTCGAGTCCTAGTTCTTTACCGGCTTTCATTAACGTTGTCGTATTTAGTTTTATAGTTTCAACGTCTTCGCTTAACAGTACCAGATCATCAGCATAGCCCAGCACGGATGTTGTCCCGCCCAGATCCAACCCTTTCTCGGTTCGCATTACCTCCCTAATGGCATGTTCTAATGCCAAATTGAACAGGGCAGGCGAAAGAGAATCCCCCTGTTTTAAGCCCGAACGAACCTCAAATTTTTCGGACAAATTATTACCGATTCTAACTTTATTGAGTGTCTCCGTCAAGCACGGTTTGAAACTTTATATATTGAAAATTAAAAACCTCGCCCTCAAACATTTTGATGACCCAACTTAGGCCATAAA